GTCATCCACTTTGTTGTAAAGAATGGCGTGCGAAAACGCAACTGATTATGTTTACAAACTAGTCGATGGAGAGAGTGTTCTCCAGGAAGCTATCTCTGAAATCAAACAGAAAATCGCCGAGAGGAACACTCTTTTAGCTGTAGATTGTGAGGGAGATTCGCTGAGTAGAAAGGGAGCCCTTACCATTATCACAGTAGCAACTGCGGAGAAAGTGTACATATTTGATGTGCAGAAATTGGGTCAACGCGTATTTACCAGTGGACTTGGCGAAATCCTCGAGGACAAATCGCGTGAGAAGTTGATGTTCGATTGCCGACAAGACTCCGACGCGCTTTGGCATCAGTTTCAAGTTAAACTAGGAGGAGTGTTGGATATTCAGCTCCTTGAGGTCATCTATCGCCGTGAAAACCCTTCAGAATCTACAACTAATACTCACCAGAATTCCAACAAAAATAGACGTGGTTTTCAGTCAAATCGTCGTAGTCAAAGAATACACGAAATAGAAAAATTATTTGGTTTTGGTCATTGCATCGAGTTGTACCTCCAAGATGAAAAACTGTCCAACGTAAAGGACAAAGGAAAAGAGCTGTTAAAGGAAGATAAGAGAGTGTGGATGAAGAGACCACTGACGGATGCACTGATACAGTATTGCATTGTGGATACTATGGCCATGTTCAGATTGTACAACAAGATGAAGGAAGTCAATGGAGGAGAGCAGTCTCGTCTTCGAGTTGCATCCGAAAAATAGGTTGATCTGTACCGGGGCAAAGCAGAAAGATCCTTTGATGAGTATGAAACAAATGGGTACCTTCCTCTTGACATCATCCCGGATAAAGGAACTCTCGATTTTCCTTACGCTAACACTGCATGTACGCGCTGCGATCGACGATTTCCACGGGAAGAATTCAGTAAAATACAGCTGAGAAAAGGAGAGCAGAAATGCAGGGTATGCAAGGAGATAAAGCGCCTGGATGATGTACAAATAAACAGAGAAAACAATTGGGAGCGCGCTGCCCGCGCAGAGGAAGATTGTGTCTACATTCCAGAGGGAATGTCTGATTATGCGTTTGTTCACGGCCACGAACCCTGGGAGACCTTATCTGATGAGTATGACACAGATTACTGGTAAACAAATTTTAGTACGAGGCCATATGGAGATTCACCGTAAAGACAGCAATGTAATCAAAAAGTACTTTGATTTTTTTAATTATAAATGCAAAGACTAGCAAAAACTAACGATTAATTATAATTGTAAATACCTTCTAGTAAACTATGGCAAGACTAGTGATGGTTGAATGATCATAGCCGCGTGGACCTTCTCTTTACAAATTTTTACCATTATTCAAATTTTGTCTTCGTTTACATTGGCCGTAGGGAGCAGATATATAATAAGATTACGACTACCGTAACGGCTACTAAGGGACTAACGCTTGCACCTGCAATCTTGAATTTTGTGACTTTACTTCCGGTTTACAAGTTGTGATGATTCATCACGGCAGCCATTTTTAATTTTTTACAAGATTTCAAAGATTAGTGTAAATATGGTCACAACTGTTGAACTCCAACCTATTATTATAGCTAAACTAGTCAGAGAAGCCAAACTAGCCAAAACTCTAACATCGAACGTCTACCCAGGAAAGATTTTCGATGGAATTTTTCATCAATGTATCGATAAAAGGTGACTTTGTGACTCTCAATGTTCCTGGTTATATATATATCCTTGCATGGATGTCGTAATTAGAGAGCTGTGCACTCACTTGAACAATTTATTTTCACATCAGCTTACTGCTTATAATATAAACACGACGAACAGTCTCTCAGCCTGGTCGGTTGAAAGTTCTCATTGGCTTTGCTTAATTTCAACAACTGACACTTCTCCATTTGTCCCGAGTGCCAGCGCAGATGTGTTATCATCCGCTTCTTTTAGCGATGTATTCCAGTTCATTTTCTTACTCAGACGAACATCAGCAAGGAATTGCGACAGCTCAGTAAAAGAGCGCCGTAAATTCCGTTTGAAATTCTTCTTAAAAAGTACATAAGTGAACGGATCCAGAATGAAATTGACGATCAGTAGCCTGAGGGAGAGGTTGTCCATTACATGGCTTGGATACGCCCGAAAGAGATTACAGAAGAGCCGGATCTGAGAAGAAAATGCAAATAAATGATTTTTCAAAAATGATCTTATAAAACTGAGTTCAGTTGGCCACAACTCACTACAGCAGGATCAAAAGCAACGACGAAAATTAGTGTAAATCATAAAATTTACAGAAGATACGAATCTTAGATTATGAAACACTACGTCTTATGATCGATAGCGAAGCGAAAATTTCTTTAAAGGAAGGCCGTGCATGGTCCAAAGGACGAAAAAAGTGTAAATTAACAAAAAAGGAGCAAGGATGATAAAATTTGGGAAAGCATGGATAAAAATTGGGAAAGAAATGCAATTAAGGTTCGATATATGGTTATTACGAAACAAAGAAATTAAATTTTTTTAAGTTAATGTGCAATAATGAAAAAGAAAATTCAAATTAGGTTTCAGGCCTTTCAGCCAAAAGTGGCGAAAAATATGAGTGAATTCAAGGTGGACCCTAGAGGAAATTCCAAAACCTACGAAAACTGCAAAGTTGCGA